TCTCCACCCCCACCCACACCCACACCCTCCCGCACAGGGACAGACCGCAGGAGCCCGCAGCTGCAGACTCCGGGTCAGAGAGGCTGGTTGACGCGCATGCCTCCCGGCAGCCCATGGCCATTTTTGGACGGAAGGAGTTTGTAAATGAAAATAACTTGGGTTTAACTGACATTCCACACGGGAGGGCGGTGGCCCACGCTCCCTCTCTTTTTTTAAAAAAATTTTTATAAACTTAAAAAAATATATATATTTTTTATTGATTTCAGAGAGGAAGGGGGAGAGAGAGAGAGGGAGAGAGGGAATCATCAATGATGAGAGAGAATCATGGATCGGCTGCCTCCTGGTACGCCAATGGGCAGTTTACAGGTAATGGAGGCCTGGCATTTGCAAAGGCCTGTGGGTATGCAAAGGGCTGGTGGCTCTGGTGTCTGCAACAAGGTTGTCGATCTTTCCGTGATCACAGGCAGCGCCCGGATGGGGAGGAGGGGCCGCGTGTCCGGGTGAGCGCCCAGGCCCACAGGCCACTCCCAGCCAGGTTAGGCTGTGCCTTCTCCAATCAGAACAGCACCATCGCGGCCAACAGAGCGTGACGACTGTTCCTTACTGTCCTAGCTGGTCCCCAACAGCCTGTTTCTGCCCCATCAGCATCTCAGATGAGGAAACTGAGCCTCAAAAGCAGCGGTTCTCAACCTGTGGGTCGCGACCCCTTTGGGGGTCGAACGACCCTTTCACAGGGGTCGCCTAAGACCATTGGAAAACACGTAGATGATTACATATTGTTTTTGTGATGAATCACTATGCTTTAATGATGTTCAACTTGTAACAATGAAATCGGGGGTCACCACAACATGAGGAACTGTATTAAAGGGTCGCGGCATTAGGAAGGTTGAGAACCGCTGCTCAAAAGGCTATCATCATCCCGTGGCCCCTTGGATCAGCTGCCTCCTGCACGAGGGCTGAGCCCCGGGCCCTAACGCCCCCTCCCCTTCCTCCCCAACGTCCGTCCTGGGCCTCCCGGGCGG